AAGTTCTCCCTCCACATCCTGTAAAAAAAAATACGCCCGTATAATTGAATTTAATAGAAGCCCGAAGAAAAAGGTATCACACGTACACAAAAGCTATTTTTGAAAGAAACGTGTTTCGAACATGTCCCGTGCTTTTGCGCTACGGTTAAAATAAAAGAAGTTCAGGAACGTTTGGTAAAGCTAGAAAGTGTAGGAACAAGTTCCTACATTTTCTTACCAAAACAAATGCAGCTTAGAAAATTAGTATTCTAACCGCGGCGTGGGGGTATTGTCTGAAATTCTTTATGTTTTGAAAAATCAACTACAGCAGATCGCCGCTCATTCCACGATCTCCTTTCTGAAAGCCGATGACTCGACATTTCAGCGCTCGCGCCACGAGTTATGCTCCTGTCATGTCGCTGGTAGTAATGTCAACCGCTGACACGGAGGGGGATTCACAAGTCCACGACACACCCCGCAGCAGCTCCCGGGTACAAGAGGTATCTAGGGATGAGCGCTCCGACGCCAATAGATGAAAGGTAGGAATCCGTAAACGACACGTATATATGTAAATGTTGTTATCGCGATGCCAAACCCACAGTTAGAATGCTAAAGCACATACAACGATGATGGTGCATCTTTGAAAAGGATCACCCTAGTGAATATCTCGGCAAAGTCATGTTACTCCGCGACAGCTGATTTGTTATGCTACGAGTTTAGGCGAAACGTAAAGCAGAATATCCAAGGCGGGTTTGCATAGGTGTTGGTGGCAGCGCTCTGGTCGAATGAATTGTCGAAAATGCACAGTCATTCCCTACCTTCAAAGAACCAAAGTTCAAAGTATTCTGCGCAATATTGGAGTCCTCCTACAGCGTCAGACCATCCCGGAATACGTGGTCATCAATTGGGAATTTGAAGAGGAACTTGCGTGAAAACAATTGTTCTCGATGTTACAAGCTGTAGAACCAGTTTTATTACAAATATGTGAGCGTCTACAGCAACCGGGGGCTATGAGACATAGTGGTCGGAAATTTCCAGAGACCGGGTATGTATCTGGACGATTCCCACCCGGGTCAGGCGGCAAATAGTGTCTGCAAGCCAGTTTGGTAGCGACGGCCGCATCAAATAGGGGTTGTCCAAGAGAGCCGAGAATAGCGAAGTCAAGTGAGTAGCAGATCCCCCAAGATTACCTTATGTCTAAGCATTCCCGAGGCGGCTACCACCGGGGAGAGCCTAATTTAGTCTTACTTTTCCCTTCAAGAGCGCAGAATGAATCCAAGTCGAGCACTCTACCAGGCCAAGGACGCGGACTCTGGGGTCCGCGTTTGAAGGCTACTCCCAGGTATGATCCACACCCCATCTGCCGGTTTTTATGGCATCCACCCGAGCGCTGTCTAGCC